CGGCAGGCCTATGAATAGGCACGATTTCACCCAAGCTTCAGATACTGGTCACACGTGAGGGCGCTTCCCACAGCGTGAAGCTCACGCAACGTCTTGTCCCCTTCTCAGGGAACAGGGTTACATGTGTAACCCAGATGTATTTTTGTCTACCTTCCAGAGAGAAAAAAAAGAGGGGGTGGGTAATGGGAATGACTGTTTATAGCTGATATAACAGAAGTGATAACAGGATCTTGTCACGAAACGGACGTAATGGAGACTGGGATGGATGCAATTGCCGATAAGAGCTTTTAATAAAAAGACAAACAGTTGTTTGTGTTCACACAGTTTCTTTATACTGTGCTTGTGAGTGCTGGGAATTTGATTGAGGTGTGATTAGCATGAATCCGAGCGTTCTGGGACTTGCAGTCCATGTTTGTAGACTGCAGTGCAGGATGGGAAATGTAGTCACTGGTTTGTTGTGATAGGACAGATCTAATGTATCTCATGGATATTCCACAACAATAAGTATAACTATAAGCAGATAAAATATTGATATGTTGTTCAGTATTAAATGTAAAAAAAAAAAAAAAAGTAAATAGTAATAATAAAAATTGTAATCAAAGCTTTCTGTGGTATAAGTGGAGTAATACACTTCACATCATGCTACTATACAGAGTAATCCACTTTGGGGCTTTTCACCACTGGAACATGGATTATTTTTGTATCTTCCGTAATCATGGTTACTATGATACAACAACAACAACAAAATGAAATGGAAAAAAGATAAACTGCGAAACAGCAGAAGACCTTTATGAGCTCTGATTCATCAACGCATGTTTTAAAAGGTGCTTGTTCTGCGTGTGGACATCCAGTGATAAATGTACAGTACCTACTTGCACTTGATACGAAAAGCAACCGTGCTTGATGATCTACAAGAAATACGAATTCTATTCATTAATGATCTATTATTAATAATTCTGCCTGCTCTCCCTTGTGCAAATCGTGTCGAGTGTACATTTCTATTCAGATACTAGTTTTTTTATTAACAAATGATAAATGAATGGAGACCAGACTACACATGGACAATGCCCTCCTCTCCCCTCCCCCTCTTTCAGACACATCTTCACACGCCATTAAATCAAACCCCTGCATTTGGTGCAGGGTTACTGATGTGTTTCTATCCAGCTGGATTTGTTTAGTCTGTGCTCAGATGAGAACGCTGGGATAATAACCGCATGCGCCCTGTGTCCCTGTGTTGCCAGGTCATGTGCGTCTTCCGTTTCTGCCTCGTCTGACACGATGCCATCAGGAAATCTGCAGATATACCTGTCAGAGTTCTCACCTCGTGCAAAGTGCTGGAGCACACAACGCAATCTGAAGTCCTCTCCACGCCTGTATCGTCATTGGTTGCTCCTCGTATATTTTGCGTTCACCCTTGGTTTGTTATTTAAACCCCTTGTGTGTCTATGTTAGTTGCGAAGTATTACCTGAGTGTTTTCCGTGTACCAAGCCTTTGTTCCGCGCCATTGTTTCGATCTGTTCTTGTCCTCGTTCTTCGATTCTAGTTTAGCCTTTTTTTTATTTTACGCCCGTCCGGTGCAGATCGCCTGACCCATGGCCTGTTTCTGACCACGTTATTGTTTCACCTTTTCGATCGAGTCCTTTACCGCACATGCGTCCCGCATCGCCTCCTTGGCCATCCGTTACAATACCCTGCAGGTCCCTGTGCAGATCCCCAGCTTGGATAGGAAAGTGCATTAGAAAGGAAGAGATTGCATTGCCGTGTTGGTAAACTGAGAGGGCGACATGATTACGGGTAAAATATAGAGTCTTAAGCAGACAAGACAAATGGTTTGTGTTGACAAAAGAAAGTCAGGCCGGTGAAGAGGTCATCAGCAGCTTCTTTCTGTTTCAGTTCTTCTATGTTAAATGAATTCTCTAGTGTTTTTCGGTCTAACCTCTATCTACCGCATCAACACTTTCCTTGTACTGAGAGAAAAATAAAAAAACTATTACGATCCTGTTTATTTAAAATGCACTCATAATGGATTCAGCCAATAACCGATTTGTGACGTCTATATATTTGAGGAATGCTTCCAGATGATACCAACATATTCAGTGTAAACACAGAAGTGCCTCCGTTTCTGCCGGGTACATACCGCTAAACATTACAGCCCTATAGAATGTTCACATTATTTGGTTCAAAATGAAAACAAAAACTGTGCTAAAGGAAGAAAAGATGTTTCTGTGAGTCACTTTGCAGTCCTGTCATAGTAAATTCAAAGTCTCACGACGGGTAGGCGGCCGTCATTCACATACAGTATGTCATATGCCAGCTCAGAGACCGAAGTCAGACAGAAAATAAGTCCAGCTACATAGTGGGTGCGTCTCAAACAGCTCCCTAGTTCCATAGGTCAGGGCACTGATCGGCGAGTCGGCCATTTTGAAGGCTGTCTCAAATCACAAATTGACATTCACTTCCTAAAAAATCCCACCGTGCACCACAAAAACCATTGTGCATCGATACTTACTATGTTACCTTACTGGAAATGATGCCATGCCATGCCAAGTCTCTCATCTTGAAAAAAATGGTCGACTTCCTTTACAAATATAAGTAGCTTGTTATCGTTGTTGTGGCTCTCAAATGATTACTTACATTAGCGATTTTTTAAAAACTTTATTTGGTGTTCTATATACGGTTTGTTTGAGTCTAATTATTCATTATTTTTTTTATATCAACCAGCTGCTTCAAACACCATGACAGAAATGCATGTGATTAAACTCACAAATTTATACGACACATAATGTCAGAAAGATATCGGTCCTACCTGTTGTTGATAAATACCAGTAGTGATGTAGCCATGTCGTAGTCATACTGAGTCATCATCATCCCAACGTTTAGTGAGCCAGGGTCCTTACCGATGCCCAGACTCATGTACATGATACACTGATTCACGACCTGTCAGGAGCCACGGCCAATCAAAAGAGTGCAAGTGTTGGACAGTTGAAATAAATTACACAACAGTTTGTCTCGTCTCTCTACCATTATGTTTACGTTATAATGATAACGTTATGATCGATGCAAGATGGTGAACCAGACAGCAGGATGTTTTCCACCATGGGGAAGGACAGAGGACTTTACAGAAACGAGTGGCGAGGGAATAACTGTTTATAGCTGCTATAATGTAAGTGATAATGGGATTGTTCTTTAATAATAATAATAATAATAATAGTAATAATAATAAAATGTAATCATTGGGAATTTGCTGTGGTACAAGAGGAATAAAACACTTTGAGACATTGTATTGGAACTGGTAATGGTCATTCTGCTTCACACCACCCCATCATTCATTATTTTCCTATAAGAGCATGCTACATTGCATTTTGTTCCTTACATCAGGGGTCCCCAACCCCCGGGCTGCGGACCGGTACCAGTCCGTGGGTCATTTGGTACCGGGCCGCACAAAAAGAATAAATAACTTGCATTATTTCCATTTTATTTATTATCGGAGTCTGAATGATGTTTTATTGTGAAAAATGACCGGATTCTCTCCGTTACATCCGTCTACGACTCGCTCTTGACACAAGTCAAGACGCTTGTCTCGGTCACGTGATATGTTACTTGGTCACGTGATACGTTTAGGGGTAGAGCGGAAGTTACTCATGCTATGTTGTTGGCGTGATGCTAATAAAGCTGCGATTTCACATTGGATCCACGTTTATTATAAAATTGAAAAAATACCCCAGTTTTTATGCCGGTCGTATCATTTTATTTTGTTGTATTTATCCGCCACACCGTAAAAAGGCCGGTCCGTGAAAATATTGACTGATATTAAACCGGATATTAAACCAACGTTAAGACCTGTGGTGTTAGGATTGTAGTTTCAACAACTGCCCTTAGACTTTTAGAAGTAAAATAACCTACTTTATTGTTCAGTACAGGGAAATGTGTTGAAAATCTTGCCAATAGTGATCACACACAAACTACAGATGTAGTTGATAAATACATAAAAAAATAAAAAAAACCCAACTGGAGTATTCCATTAATTTTCTTTAATGTCAAGTCTTTTATCATTCTTGCTCTATCACAGGATGTAAATGAAAGCGAGACCTAGTCATTACTGACTCATTCTGTTTTTCCACCTCGTCTGTGTGTACACAAGGCACAAATGCAGGACGCTGTCTGAAGCTCTAAAAGATGAATGCTGGTTTGACCCATTAAGAGCCATTCAGGTCATGACGCACCACGTTTTTCATGATTTTCCCATCTATGAGAGGACAGATAATGGAACGGCCGACGACATAGGACATCTATAAAGCTCCTCTCCTCGACTACCAGAAGACGTGATATTTGTGAGGACGCAGGCGTGTGGATGGAAAGGAAAGCTAACAGGTCCTGAGGATTATTGTAAAAGGCACAGAAGATATCTTCATATTTGCCAGAGGTATTAACACGACGCTATGAGGGCAAACAGGGGCAAGAATATTTATGAAAAGTCTAGATTAACCTACATTTGACTGTCATTAGATAGAAAGGTCATATTACACACTCACCCACACTCCCACATGACTGAGGATTTATGTGGTGATGCTTTATTTTACCCACTCCCCCTCCCACTCCTCCACCCTCTCTCCCTGTGTATTATGTCTCTCTGTGTGTGTTGTTTTAGAACATCGTTTACAGCCGAGGAAGAAAATGAAGTGGATGTGTCACCCTCCTACACAGAGGAGACACAGATGGAGTTATTATCGCACCTTTTTTCCCCCCAGACATAAAGATAAAACAAATACGACAGCACATAAGCACCTATGTATAAGGAGTTGAAATAAATGATGTACAAACAATGTCTAGAGAAAAAAAAATATAATTTGTGCAATACAATAAATGGAAATGGTAGAAATTCAGGAAAAAAAACACACGACCATTTAAATATTGTGAAAAAAAGGTATTTTTTGCTTGGCTGATATATAGAAGTCGGTGCATGGTTGGTACATGGAGAACCCTGTAGCTTCACAGAGATGGTCGCATGGTGGCTTAGTGGTTAATACATTCGCCTCACGCCCAGGGTCGGGGGTTCGATTCCCACTGTGACCCTGTGTGTGTGGAGTTTGCATGTTCTCCCCGTGTTGCGGGGGGGTTTCCTCCGGGTACTCCAATTTCCTCCCCCAGTCCAAAGACATGGCTGATTGGCGTGTCTGAACCCTTGAGAGGAACCGTACTAGAATGGAGGCTCCGATGGCTTCCTGTCTTCACAACAATCCACCTGCCTGAGAAACACATAGTGGGTGAACCAAGAAGACTTAACTGGCACACTTAATCTGTCAAATCACTTCATAACACAATAACCTTAAGCCAACAAAACAAGCAATACTGAAAACAACCCATCAATAAATGCTAAAAAAATGAAATCAATTGAAAGTTCTGCGAAGGCATATACAAATCGAGTACAACATCCGCGCTCCCACTTTCAGTAAACGTTACAATTTCTTGTCTTCATCGTTTTGTGAGCACATGTATTATAAATAATATTACATTTAACCCAGTAAAGTAAGTAAGATATACACTTCGGGATTGCGCGACATATTTACATGAATTAATTTAGCACAGATTTGTTTTTGTCATATTTACCACTTCATTTGGACCCAACCGCACGTCCCAAACTGTTTTATTCTCTTCTAAATAGGGCAGCATCATGTAGATTGATGTATAACATTGAGTCCAAGCAATCAGCCACTGCATCGAGTCCTGAGAGATCTGAATCAATTAAAGTCTTATTGACTTCTGGGTACAGCAGAGGACGAGATTGTATGTTAGATGCTATAGCAAGGCAAAGTGCATATATTGTATTATAACTCATGTGGAAAGCACACTATGCAACAACAAAAATAAAAAAAACAACCCAAAATGATTCCTGATGACTGTTCTCTTGGCAGAACAGACAATCCTTTGTACACCCATTTACCCATCCATTTCTTCTGTTAAGTTCTCTGTTGTCCTCCAAAATAGTGCAGATAGATGTGATGGACAACTCTTGTGTTTATTTGGGGTGAGAATGAGGGATTTGGGGATCGTATGTGCTTCGGCAGGAATTTCTCCAGATGGCAATCGCTGAGTATCTGAGCGAATGTCTACAAAAGAACAGAAAGCAATTCGGAGATTTTGAAAGTTGTGTATTAATGTCGTCTCGTCATAAGACGCATTTGAAATGATATGGAATAGTGTCCGGAGATCATTTCAGACCGAGGTAGAGTGGCTATGTTTTTAATGTGTGACATTATCGGACTTTATCGAGTCTAAGAATCTAGAACCAAACATGGCGACAATAATGAATGTTATGAAAGTCTCTGATGATTTGTGCTTTTACGTATTACTGATTACTGCAAGTCCTGAAACGGGTGGGGATACGCAACCGGGAGGTGGGGTGGGGTTTTGGGTGTCATATGCAAAATTATCATTGCCTGCTACTTTATAACTCACTTTCATGCTAAATTATCACCTGCCGAATCCTTTCAGCGCTCAGACAATCCTTAAAAGTCTTGCATTTCTTACAGCTCAGTTCTTGGATGTTCATCTCGTTTCGGTGTAAAGATGTGTGACAAATTAAAGGGAAAAAAAACATTCTCGCAAACAATTGCAATCGAAATTTTGTTTTGTTTGTCTTTGGAACTCGTCATTTGGTTTAGTTTGTTGGTTCTACCAGTTAGGTTTGTAATGGATGTGGGCGGAAACATTTTGTTCTTTGTTATTTCCCATCAAATTTGTTTGATCCGGTTGAAATGATATTCCTGTAGACATTATGCAGAAAAAAACAAACAAACAAACAAAAACATTTTTTGTCAACAAAGTTTGGCTTCATAGTCAGTGTTTGAATGTTCACCATCATATACAGATGATTTGATTCAAATCTTACTACTAAATGCTACTGCTAGCTAGTTAAAATTGTTTTTTTTTTTCCCTGTAACATAATCTTCCATTACTGGCTGGCACTGGAGAAAAGTTCATTCGAATCCTACATTTGATGTTCATCCTAATTACAAAATGTACATGGATATGGATATAAATATCATGTTATGATGTTAAGATCTTGGAGTCTACAGCCAGAAATGTAGTCTTTTTTTTTTTTTGGCATGTTTCAAAACATTTTAAATTGGGTTAAAAATCCCCCCAGCATGCTGGTCAACATCCTAACCCAAACTCAGTGATAAAATAACCCATGCTTGGTTTATCTACACCGATCAGCCATAACATTACAACCACTGACAGGTGATGTGAATACTATTGATACTATACTATTACCTCGTTACAATGGCACCTGTCAAGCGGTGGTATATATTAGGTAGCAGTCAGTTCTCAAAGTTGATGTGTTGGAAGTAGGAAAAATGGGCAAAGGTAAGGATCTGAGCGACAAGGTCCAAGGCCTATAGTGGCCAATTTCTAAATTGGGTTATCTTCAACCCAGCATTTTTAGAATGTATGTTTTGATCAACTTTAAGTCTCGAATTGGATTATTAACACCTTCGCTGTCACATTCAAGCTACCTCAGTTCATAAATGAAACATCTGAAAAATGGCACCATCAGCCATTACAAAACAACCCTAAAGACCGAAATGACCAAAATCAAGGTGTAGAAATAGCATTTACTGCCTGATTGCAATGAATGAGAAGGAAGGAGTGTGCGTGAGAAAACAATCACGGCTATAACAAGGCCCAAACAGCTTGATAATTATCTTTTAACACAATGAATGATCAGGCCTTTTTGTCGACGTGTCAAAGCCGCACAATCAATGCTGGTAATTTAGCCCCCTGCAAGCTGAGAGGCCCTTATGCTTTTCGCCTGGTCCCATCGTTCATCACACACACACACACACACACACACACACACCCTGAGCGTGACACAACGCCCTTGACTACAAGCCAGAACTGCAGCTGAGGGGAAAAAATGAGACAGGATGAAAAGATAAAGCAGGAGTTCTAAGGAGGAAAAGATGCAGGAAGAGGATGAGAATGAGGATGAGGGTCAAATAGCCGGACTCCCAGCGTGGAAGATGTGAAATACACAAAATAAGAGTTACACAGTATTAAAGTATACGTCTTTGCGGTCTTTCAGGGGAGTACAACGATGAAGGTTGGTCCATACGACCATTCACTAACTGTGTAGGGCTCCTTATCAATATTATGGTCCTAGTTCAACTTCTGGTTCCAGTTTTGTGTATCGAATTAATGTTTATTTTAAAACAAATGCAATAATACATGACTCGCTAAACACTTTCTTGCGAAATTGACACTAAAACACTTCCTACTGTATTTTCGCAAGCCAAATTAGTTACTGTAGCTATATAACAAGCAATTAGTGCCGCCTTCGCTAATGCTCTCATGGCTGAATGAGCAAATCCCCACAGCCACGCTCTAAAACCTAGTGGAAAGCCTTCCCAGAAGAGTGGAGGAGATTATAACAGAAAAGGAGTACTAAATCTGGAAAGGACTGTTTAATGAGGATGAGGGCATGAGGGTCATTGGTCAGGCGTCCATAAACTTTTGGTTATATAATGCATGTACAAAAAATTAACAACTTGGAGGCATGATGTTATAGGAAAATAATCATTGATAGGGCGCACGTCCACCTCACGCGGCCAGGGTCGGAGGTTTAATTCCCACCGTGGCCCTGTGTGTGCGGAGTTTGCATGTTCTCCCCGTGCTGCAGGTGTTTCCTCCGGGTACTCCGGTTTCCTCCCACACGTGTGATTTGCAGCTGCGCTACTGTCAAAGCTGCTGTGATAGCAAATTCATCAACACCTTCTGACCAATCAGATTAGAGAATTCAATAGCACCGAGGCATAGGGAAACCCCGACACATAATTTACCTTTGAGCTTCAGGATATCTAAGGCAACAGCCTAGGATGATTTCCCCAAACCATAAGCTCGGCATGAAACGATTTGTATTGCTTGCCTACGAACCTTTGGCCCATCATCCCATACACACACCTTCACAACAGGAAATGAAAATGGGCAGCGTGCCCTGCTTGCTTTTTCAGCCCTACTCACCTTGTATTCATTGATCTGCAGATCAATCATATTCAAACTGATCCTGAAAGATGGTAGTGCTCTGGCTCCTGGCTGGAGGGGAAGTGAGTATTTGATTAAGGAGGTCTCTATTATGTGGTCATATAATACTGCAATATGACAGCGTATAGCCGTGCCACTCTATGTAGGTCATTGAAACGAGATATGATTATGGCAGCTCACGGTAGATTTGCTCCTCTTCTCTGTTCTCACCAAATACCAAAAGCAAGTCAGGGGAAAAAAAGTGGGATGAAGATAAAGTAGCTCAGTGGCTCAGAGACCAAGAGTAGGAAGGGGAGAGGAGAGAGAGAGACAGTGAGGAAGGTGTGAGAGGGATGTGTGTAGTGAAAAGAGAAATGGTCAAGTGAGAAAGAAAGAAAGAAAGAAATAAAGAAAGAAAGAGAGAGAATAAGGAGAAAGGAGCTTTGCAGTTCTTCCACTCTCGAGAACCCAATTACGCAGTGGGGAGTGATGGCTATTATCTTTGCATCATCACATATGGCGCATTATGCAGCTTGAAACATCGTCATCAAGTCACACACTTACAGACACACAGCCTGACACATGTACCCACATAGAAATCCTCGAAAAATACAAGCATAAGGTTTAAGATCAGATCCTGCTTCCCAAGTGGCACAACAAAGCAATCCCTACGATGCTACGGCCATTTGTGGCCACGAGTCCTAGAGAGCAAAATTGGCACAGTTGGTAGAGCTGGTTGTCCACTTCCCACTAGTGGTTGTCCACTAATTTCGATTCCCGGGCCGGGTGACTCCACATGCCGAAGTGTCCTTGGGCAAGACACTGAACCCCGATGGCAAGCTAGCACCTTGCATGGCAGCTCTGCTACCATTGGTGTGTGAATGGGTGAATGAGACACAGTGTAAAGCGCTTTGGATAAAAGCGCTATATAAGTGCACATTTACCATTTACCTGTCAGTAACAGAGACATTATCCAAGAGTAGCTTTCCTCTGAGGTGTGTTACACTGCCCTGTGAAGCAGCAGTTTGAAAAGTCCTCTGGCTTCACATGTC